TCAAAAGAAAAGTTAATCGATGGAGCCTTGAGTGTAAAATTGAACGCATTTCCGCTTGATGCCCTCCATCAAAGTCATTACAGTGTCATCCGGTACCAGTTTCTCAGTTTTTTTTTTTCATTTTCTTAACATGTCCTTCTCGTCTTTGACTGTCTTCTTGCTCTTCCGAAGTTCCCGCTTCATTATTGCCCAGTACTGCTCCACCGGGCGCAGCTCCGGACAGTTTGGCGGATTCATGTCCTTTTGAACAAAATGGACAGAATTGACCTCATACCACTCCAGGACACTTTTAGAATAGTGGCATGATGCCAAATCTGGCCAAAATAGCGGAGCTTCGTCGTGCTGCTGCTAGAACGACAAAAGGCGCTTCTCGAGGCACTCAGATTTGTAGATCTCGCCATTTACTGTGCCCTTTGTCACGAAAGGCTCACTCCTCAGTCCGCAAGAGCAGATGGCCTGCCAAATGAGATATTTGAAGGCCAACTTCGACATTTTCTTCTTCTTAAATTTGTCGTCCACATCGAACTTGCTCTTGCCGGTAAAAAACTCCAACCCCGGAATTTGCTTAAAATCGGCTTTTATATACGTTTCGTCGTCCATCACACAGCAGCCATATTTTGTCAGCATCTTCTCGTAGAGCTTCCGTGCAAGAGTTTTAGCCGTCGATTGTTGCCGCTCATCGCGGTTTGGGAAGTTCTGTACCTTGTATGTATGTAGTCCAGCTTTCTTCTTTGCATTCTGGACGTAGCTCTGCGACATGCCGATCTTTTTAGCCAAATCACGGCTTGAGACGTTGGGATTTGCTTTAATCATCCGCTTCACCTTTCCCTCCGTCTTTTTATTCTCCGGTCCCGGTTTTCTTCCAGCTCCTTTGCCGTGGTCCAACGTCAACCGCTCCTGGAACCGCTTCAACACTCTGGAGACGGTTGAATGGTGAATGTTCAACATTTTTCCCAACTGCCGGTGCGACAGGTCAGGAAATTCCAGGTGTTTGGAAAGAATTTGTTCTCTCAGCTCGCGTTGGTTCACCTCCATTTTCGTTGAATCGAAAAACACGACTTCGAGTTTGACAGCATGTACACAATACACATCAATGAGAAAGTGTGCCAAATTTGGTTGATTTTTACCCAATGGTAAAAAAGTTATGCCCTGTTGAATGTGTCGCAACAATTTCGTGTTCGCCCTTTATGGATGGTGTGAATATTCACATCGGTGACATGGCCCCTGACCCCCTTGTACATCATAAAATGAAAATGAAAATGAAAATTGAATAGAGTACTCTCACATTAACCATACCCTGAGAGACCCACATATCACACCGGTCCAGAAGCCGCTAACAAGAAGTTCAAGCGAAGAGTCAAGAAGGAGCTCCGAAAACAAACTCCTCCACTGAACCTCCGACGTTCTTTCGTTTTCAACGACCTCACGGAGAACCAACCCATAAGTGCTGATCCTGAGGACTCCCTTTAGTGACATTTCATATTAGATACACCAGATATGGATGATGGAAATCTGAAAATTACAAAAAGATCACAGACACAGGACTACAGAAAATCCTCCCTGATGAAAAGGAAACACCAGGAATCAGGGTGTATTCAAGGAGAGACAACATGCTGATTATGTTTAATAGTACCATCATCAAATGTCAGTACGAGGTGGAGGAAGCGGCCAAGGGCTTGGTGGATATCATCCTGATTCAAGCAAGAAAGAGGGACCATGAAAATACCAGCAGCGCCAGGTTACAATATTCAAGAAGAGATACAAAAAACATCGAAAGTGATGAAGAAAGAGAAAGAGAAGAGTATTCCACTACAGATGCCGATTATTCAACAGGGCTCAACGAGAATCGAGATGACAAAGATTCAGCAGCAAGGACACAATGCATAAGCGGAGATCTAACTGATTACAACAAGATATAAAAATATGAAATGCATTCTACTAAATACGTGCCATCTACAAAGCAGAAATTGCTTTGATGATGGAAGTGTACACGCAGTACCAATATACATTTTATATCGGTACTACGTGTATGCGGGGCTTGTTGTAAATGAAATTAACCTCAAAATGGACGTGAGTGACCAGGCATTCTGAAATGGGTTACTGAATCTCAACAGAGCTATCACCTTTCAACTTCCGGGCTAAAATTGTTTGCAATGGGATCGGTATAAGATAATAATAGATTATATTGCAAACATTTTTCTTCCATAAAAACACTGCCGGACAGTGGAAGTTGGATTGTATATAGTACATACATGCATACATATACATACACATACAAGTCAAACTATTGTCTTAATTCGACACCCTTAGATATGTGTATTGGGGTATTGTTCGATGCAAGTAGTTAAGCAGCCAAAGATTTTACAAAACTGACATAATTTTCCCTTCTTTATTTAAAAGCTCGGTCTTTATTCTCATTACAATCAGATATCAAATTGGTAAACCATTTCTTTATGTCGTTTACAATTAATGAAAAGGCGTATTAATATATTAGCAACATATTTTATTTCCTGCTATGCTCATTTTGTGTGTCTTACCATTAACATCTCCGTTTAAAAACTCATATTGCTTGTGAGACATACAATAAGAAAAGTATGTTCTTTGCACATTTTGATTGGAACAATAATTGTACAAATACACTATAAGTCTTCATTGTGAAACTATTGTATAGCAACCACTTTGTTCGTACACTTTACACACTGGTCAAATAAATACGAATACAAGCTTTTAACGAAGGCCGTCACCAAATATCATAACAAGTCATAACCACAAAGTTTATCTAGGGTGTTGAACGACTTTGTACTGTTCACAAGTTCTCACAATTTCACAATATTTTTCACAATTTCATATCGATAAGTTGTAACAAACCCTAGGGTCATGTTTAAATAGATCGTACAGTGTAAATTGTATCTTTCGGGGAAATAGTTTTTGGGAAAACGTTCCTTTCGGGGAACTGGTTCATTCGGGGATAAAACTTTGGGGGAAAAGCAGTACAATCAATTTATCTCAATTTAACTACCTACTTTTTTAGTTGGAGGGAAACGCTGGTGAGCAATTTATGAATAGAGGGGTATACACTAAAAAAGGTTGAAAACCACTGATCTAGATTGCCGATGAAGTAATATTCGTAAACGATGGGTGTACTTTTGGGTTGAACCTAATATATCTTCAATAATTTGGTAAACATTTCCTACTAAAACCTTAAAGTAACGTGTTGTATTTCTCAATTCCTCCGGTACAATGGCCGACTTTCCCCGGTTGAAAACCACTGCATTATACTATCGACAGACATGATTGTACCATAGAAGTAACTCTAAGTCCAGATGGTCCCGAAGAAACATGCTCAACTTTTTGGCTCAGTTCTGGTACTATCTTCGATCCCGAGCTAATCGATACACCCAGGTAGCATAATACAGGTAGAAATACTGCATAGAAAAATGAGGAAATACACAAACCTTTCTTCTGAGGTTGTAATCTTTGCTATCAAAATCGTTCGAAGCATTTACCTTTGCGCGGCAGATGACGCGATTATGTCGGTCTCAAGGCCCACGCACATTAGATCCGGATCGGACGCGTTGCGGCAAAGTGACAGCTAAATCTATTGTGTAACTGTCAAATTTACGTCAACGCAACGCAAACGGATCTAATGCCCTTCATAGCGGTCGTATGAGAAAATGGAAGAGTTGCCAGTCTTCTTGATATGTTGTCTTCGATTTAAGGGCTAGGGGCTGTCCATAAACTACGTAGACAGTTTAAGGGGGGGGGGGGTTGACAATTATCCACGGTCCATACAAATTTTAAAATTTTTGTATGGGCGATTGTCTACGCAGGGGGAGGGGGAGGGTCAAGAATCCCAAAAAACTGTCTACGTAGTTTATGAACAGACCCTTAAGTACGACACACCAATTTCAAATCGTTAGTTTCCACCGGTTGATTGTAGTTTCGTTGTACTTATTTAATCTAGTACCACCATGGTTACCATTAAATTAGTACAACCAGAGTACAATCAACCGGTGGAAACTAACGATTTTAAATTGGCTCACTACTTGACTAGCCTATTGGTCCCAAGCAAATCGATTAACGTACCCCATTATTGTCGAAATTCTAGAACTACACTATGTTTGTTTTGATTCGCTATGAAAGTTTGACAGATAAAATTAGGGGTTCGTGGATTTTCCTATGTTTCGAGGGGTGCATCGATTAGTTTGGGACCGAAGATAGTACCAGAGCTGAGCAAAAAAGTTGAGCACGTTTCTTCGAAACCTTCTAGTCTTAGAGTTACCTCTATGGTTATACCTTATACTGAAAATAAGTGTTTTCTGCAAAATAGTATTCCTAACTATGGTCTTTGTTTCAGTGTATGCATTTAAGGGTTAATGCTTAATGATTAATGCTCCCACAACGCCCCTCCCCTTGGCTAGTTTTTGCACCTTGCTGTTGGTGGGCGGGCTTAATTTCATGCTTTATAGTGGAGTGTTGGAGACGGTAGGTTTATGGTCGGTGTTGCTGGCTCATGCCGCGATAGAATGGCGACATGGGCAGGCGATGGGGATTACTAAGCTTCCCCTCTCTGATAAACCACTGCATGAGAGAACCAAAGATCTAGTCTAGCAGTGATAGTATCACACTTGTTACTCCTTTTATTGAGAGCCGCGTCGTAGTACGCTTACGTATAGGCACTGACGTTGGGTGTGATGTTGGCGGGTTTTGCCGCAAATCACTCTTATTTTATTTATTTTTTACGCAGATAGATTTATTTGGGTTTGCAGAAAGTGCCCAACAGTGCTCCTTCTATTTGCGTGACAAGCTTTCATTGTTGTTTTCATTGAGGTATTACTCAGAAAACAATGTTAAACATCATTTTTGTACATGGTATTGTAACTAATCTTATATGTGCTTCATTTTGATTTGGGATAAGTGTTTGAACTATGGCTCGGGATTTCCACTGTGGTGTGCTTCTATTGTGCCATGCCCATATGTATTTTTGTGGTGCCACATAGTGGAAATGTGAGAGCGTAGTTGGAACATTTACCCTATACAATATACAATTTAAAATTAGCTTGGAAACTAACTTCAAAGTGAAGCATTTTAGTCACTTGAAGGTGTCATCTGGGACGAACAAAGATATAAGATAAGATATGTAAAAGCCAGAAGTACTTGAAACACGTTAAATTGTAGTTTAAAAGCATGGATTATGTAGGTAGATTAGAGATTTCAGTTATTTATTAAATAAACTTCAATTATAGAATTCAGAAAGCTAATTAACATAAGAGATAGGACGCGGGGGGTCCGCTTAGGGAGGCGACTAGCCTATGAAGTTGTATAATAAATCTTCCTATTTAGTGTATTTGTTAATTACAGACAATGTCAATAGCGAAAGTCATATCTTCAACCAGGCGCTTACGAACAAGTGAAATTTTAGGAAAGATGTGTTAAATAGGGGAATTTACGTATTCTCGGCAACCTAAGCAGCGACCTTCTTTCTATAGCCTTTTTCTCTAAGGAACGCACACATATGAAGTATTGGTTTGTTTACAATCTTTTGCTGCCAGCTACTCTAACAATTTCAGTCGAAAGAATTGTCAAAAACTGTTTTGAAACGCTTTTACAAAGCTCCAATCTTCTCTAGTGAGAGCGAGTATTGTCGGCAACCAGTTTTTCTTCGGCAACCGTTCCATTTGAACTGCATGTAAATCTGCTGTTCTATTATCGTCAACTCGAAATCAACTACAATTTGTTGAGCGTGTGTTTCATTTCAAGTAAACCATGCTAGATTGCTTTTTCACAGTGGTAAAAATATAGTCAAATTGAAGCTGAAAGCATAAAGAATCGTTTGCATGCAATCAGCGAAGTGTTTTCGTAAGAAAATCCAGTGAAAATAGTGTTTCAATTTGGGTTGCCGAAAATAGTCTGTCATGCCGAAGCCGTCATTTCCCCTATGTTGATAGGTTTGAAATAAGAATTAGGATTATTGTGCTTTAGTTTTCGGTAAGTTATGATGTGTCAACAAAGCCCTTTTGAGCAAATTTTCAAACATCAAATTGATTGAGTGATTTATTGAAAGACATTGCGTTGCGAAAATTGACAAGTCATACATCTAACATAGTAGGAGTAGCAGTGTCGCATAATCTTATCACAATTGCTGCAATTAGTGCTTGAGGGGCCAGCAGGGCTGAATACGGATCAAAACTAACATAACTACTAACACTAAAATGATCCCGGAACTAACACTTATCCATTGCACTTTTAGTTATTTATTAGTTTTATTTTTCTACTAAGTCATCTATGCTTCTTTCTATTGTTTTGATCAAGTACAACTAATACTAATCTACCTTTATGTATGTTTTACTCCCTTTTAACCCATTATCTTTGTGAATGGCGAATCATATGACGTGAGACACGTACAAGCTGGAACTCAAAGAATTACTTCGAACAGGATGTCAAACAAATTCAGGACCAATCCAAATGAGACCAGAAACCAACAAAGCATCGGGGAGTTATATATTCTGGGAGAGTTATTTGATAAATAATCAAAAAGTGGTAAGTTAAAATCAGAGCCAAGGATCATGAGAGGGAATTGTCAATAATTCATTAATTAGTAGAAATCTCGATAACTTTTTCAAGGATGCGTATCGGCTTTTGTAGGCGGTGCGTTTGGTCGTCGATTTGGCGTAACTGGTGGCTCGCCCGCGCGTGCTGGCACTATCATCAGATAGGGGAAATTTTCCTCTACCTGCTGGTGGTGTTGATAAGCGTGTGCGAGCTGCCGGTTGCGCCGGATCGACGATCGGATGCATTGTTTGCAGGAGCTGGTGCTTCCCTTTGAAAAAGTAATCGAGAAATAACCATATTATCCGGTAATTGATATTACTATTTTTATATATCAATGAAATTAGTCATGACAGAGTAACAGATGGGGAAGGACAATAGACACAAGTTGACACAATAAACAAGACAAGTGGGGGTTAATACACAAGACAAAATGACAAAATAAGTGACGACAGAAGACAAGACTGGGACGAAAATCAACCTTTTAAAAAAACAAGAATGCGCAATTATATTATCAAAACTATTTGGATCAGCACAAAAACAACAGTGACCAAACGGGCACCATAGCCTAGGAACGTCTGTGTGTTGATTTAAAATAGAGGCTCATAGAAGCAAAATTTACCAATAAAAGGGGTCCAGTGTAGAGTTTTAGCAAGTTGCTGCCACTGGATCACTACAAAAAAAAAAAATGATTAATAATGCTCCCACAACGCTTACTCTTAAATATTTTATTTTTCAATTGCCTATTCTAGCAACGTGAAGCAACCTTAAGAATGGAGGAAGCGCGATACAGATCACTCGGATATTACAAACACCGTCAAAATTTGGATAATGCTATTCAGAATCCTGATGAAGGCAATATTTTACCGCAGAAGCCACCTCCAAGACCCCTCGAAGAAATCACGTAAGTTTTATTGTTGACCATATTAAGCTTGAAATACAGTTTTTTTTTTCGTTTCAGGTGTTTTAAATGTGGAAACAAAGGTCATTATGCAAATAAATGTACCAAAGGACATTTGGCGTTCTTATCTAACAATGCTGTTCGGAAATGAAACTATTCTTACAATAATAAAGCTATCCTTTCAGCAGTTGTTTTATTTTTACTTCTAATATTTCATCGATTTACTACAATCGACGTAAATTTTAAATAACAGCTAAACAAAAATACAATGATTAGTACAATAAATTCAATTTGAGCACCATTCTTGTGTTATTCCTAGAACAGGCATGATTCTACTAACATTGTATGTACAGTTAACTTTCGCTCGTTGGGCTAAACCTGTAGCCCACTTCGTGAAAGGCTTTCGTTAGTTGGGTTGAGCTGTCGAGCCGAAAATTGGTTGAGGGATACACCAATTGTGTATTATCATCACAATCCTTTAACAACTACCCAAATTGTTTACATATGCGCCCCTCGAAAAAGAAATAGCACTGTCAAAAATGACGTTTGACTTCGATTTAGGAAGGCTACAGCTCAACGAGCAAAATTTGACTGTACTAGGTTGTTTTCTTGTAATCTATTATGACGGTTGTACTTCCGCTAATCGCATAACAGTTCCATGTCCTGTTTATTTATTTAACGAACCTTTCAATTTGAAAGTCATTCAGGTCATTGTGTGTAAAATTAGATTGCAATCACAGAACAGAAGTGGAACTTCGGATCCAAAAGTGGCTCCATATTATTGTTGTGAACACTAGCGCAGCTACAGTTTATATGGGCAGCATGCTTTGATGGTATGAGTGTTCATAGAAAACCCGTGTGAAGTGCATCCACAAGCATCGCCCACTTTCTGATACACTGATTCGTTCACACTTCCACTGTGTTACAAAATTAATTTTGAAAATTGTATCTTATGTTATTTGTTACTTTTAGAAATTGAATAGTTTTCTTCAATTAATCCATCTCCTGTAGATTTCTTATCTACATGGGACTGTTATGCAAATAGCGGCAGTGTAGTACTATTTTGAAGAAGTAGAATGCTACAATTAGGTATGTTATAGGTATTATGCGGCCTATATAATGCAGCAACTTCGCTGGTATTTCTTTTCAAGCCTGAAATCATCATCAATCTGAAGTTACGTTACAATCTCCCCGCTCTTTCAAGCTTATCGTGCTGTAATTGATAGGCTGCAATATAAATCATTTCTCCGGATTTCCCCGTACGTTTCAAGTTCGGATTCGGAATGGTGTTGGTTTTATCGCCGATTGACGTATACCTAAAATAAACAAAAATATTAGCATGTTGTTTTCAAAGTTTTCGTCACGAAAGCTGTGACTCAATATAGTAACGGTATATGGTATGTAATGCCTTGTTCAGACTGGATAGTTATAACATGTTATAACGGTTGTTAAATAATTGCAACACAGAAACCACCATCAAGATAGCGTTATAACATGTTATAATTCTGTAGTCTGAACGTACTATAATTCCAGAGACGTTGATGGAGACACGCAAAGAAAATTTCTGTCAAAACAGCAGCACGGTTTTTGAGAAATCTTTTGGCAATGTTACTGGCAACCATGTTTCTTTGAGTGGCTTCAAATGTCTTTCATACAGTGCCGCAATGCTGTTGAGAATATTTGAACGTTCGACCGGAACTGAATGAAAATGAAGTGCGCTATTAAGAGTGGTCCATTAATTATGTCACACAAATTTGGCCCATTTTCAACCACCCCCCCTTTTTTATATGGCTCGTCACAGTTTCCAAAACCCCCTCCCCCCAGCCAGGTTTACAAAAGATTGTGTCGAACATATTTTTCTTTACTTAGGTTTAAGCAAAAAAGACCAACAGCTCTGCAGTTCAAGAATAACTTAAAACTGCTATCAGTTTCTCAATTCATGTCATCGTATGAATACGATGATAGACTATGACTGACGGACTATACAGCATACATATGCCAGGAAACGGTTTCAGTAATAGTAATAGTACGTTCAGACTACAGAGTTATAACATGTTATAGCACTATCTTGATGGTGGTTTCTGTGTTACAATTATTTGACAACCGTTATAACGTGTTATAACTGCTCAGTCTGGCCAGCGTTTAATAGTACGTTCAGACCAGGCATGGAAAATCATTTGCATTTATTTCGTGCATTCATTTATAGTACGTTCAGACTACAGAGTATTAACATGTTATAGCGCTATCTTGATATAACATGTTATAACTGCGCAGTCTGGACAGCGTTTTACATTCATTTGCCCCTAACTTTTTCATCAACAAAATTCCTCAAAATGATGTGCGGAGCTTTTGTAGGTTTTGCTATTACCTACAATTTTTCTTAACAACTCAAATCCGTATCTCTTATGCATGACGAACCAGAGCGAACAGAAGCCACTACTGTTTTTAAGTGAATGTATTTTACATTCACTGAAAAACAGTAACAAGTTCTGCCCGCTCTAGTGTGTGATGCATAAGAGATACAGATTTGAGTTATGAGCAAAAGTTGTAGCTAATAACAAAACCTACAAAAGCTTTATACATCATTTTGCGGAATGCTGTTGATGAAAAAAGTTAGAATGTTAGAAAGTTGAATGTATGAAATGAATGTAAAACGCCGTCCAGACTGGAGAGTTATAACATGTTATAACGGTTGTCAAATAATTGCAACACAGAAACCACCATCAAGATAGCGCTATAACATGTTATAACTCTGTAGTCTGAACGTACTATAAATGATTTTCCATGCCTGGTTCAGACTACAGAGTTATAACATGCTATAGCGCTATCTTGATGGTGGTTTCTGTGTTGCAATTAGTTGACAACCGTTATAACATGTTATAACTCTCCAGTCTGGACAGCGTTTAAGTAACGATCTTCAAAAGTAAGTTGTGAGTGATGACCAACTAATCACTGTGGAATACCGGGAGGACGTTTTCGACGTGTTTTTCGTCATGTATATCAATCAGTGCTATCTTAAAATCATACTTGAAGTTTACTATACTGAATGATTATACTTGCGAAGCATTGCTGTATATCAACGAGTATGTCTACGTATTCTTCGTTGCTTTGGAAAAAATATTCCGCGACAATATATCACTTACCATCACATCCTATAACGTTGCTGCCAAATTGGGTGATCTTATGAAAACACTCAGCACAAATATTTTTGAAGATTGTCATGATATCATGAGAAAAATTATTGGAGTAGTAGATTCACAAATCGTTTCGGATCGATGTTTTGAGAATTACTTGTTATTTTACACAGTTGTAATGTCATATTTACATATTAATCAATAATAGAAATGGGCCCATCAGCATTTGTAAAGAAACCGTTCCAAAGCCCATTCCTTACAAATCCAAGGCCACCCACACAAACCAACACCATCATCGTGTAGGTAGAAGTTTCCTCTATCCGATGATGGTGTGGGTTTGCCTTCATTCGCAAACCTAAACCACAATCAAGTAGAGGAGAATTTTCCCTACCTGTTCATTGTATTGGTTTGCCTTTGCGGACTTCGGTTCGCGAGAAAGTGGCCTTACAGGGCTTGTTTGCAGGATGGAGTTGGGGCCATTTCAGTTGTTGATCTTGATATGGTGCTCGTTCACTGATCAAAATCAGATTCACATCGTCAGGCCCTGCCCACGAATAAGGGGATTGACAATGATTTGTCAAGTTTTATTTTGCATTTGCATTATATTTGTTATTTTAAGTTTGCTTTTGTAATTATAAGCTATTTAATTGAAACTTTGAGTTGTATAAACTTGACGAATCATACATCTAACATAGTAGTAGTTACAGTGTCGCATGATCTAACAACCACTGCCTGCAACTAATGTTGGAGTCGGCAGGGCTGATTACGGATCAAAACTAACATAACTCTAACACTGAAATGATCCCGAAACTAACGCTCATTCATTGCACTTTGAGTTATAAAGTAGTTTATTTATTTTCGGTGGACATTGGCCAAAATTGGATTTTTTTTATATAAATGGAATCCTAAAAGGACCTAGATTATTTAATACACCTCTATTCCCGTTTTCGTACGAATCGTTTGTTCGTTCGAACGAGTTCGAAAACGGCATTCTGGTTTTCGTACGAACCAGTTCGAACGCAAGCTTTTTCGAAAATAAACAGCGTTAGTGGTACCAAATGCACTTTGACATTTCTTAACAATTCGAAGCATAGACCGCGCACGAAATTGACATTTTTTGGTCAAGCGGACTATCAAACGATGTCAACAAAACAATAACATTGTTAAAATTTTGTTTTATGATCAGTTTGTTTTCAATTCTACAAACGAGCAATTCTTTACGAATCCGCAAATCGGTTTATTTTTGTAGATTTGATTTGGTTGAAAATTTGCAGAAACGTTCCTTATAACCGACTATGCCATTTTGCATCTTCATATCGCTAATTTGTATCCAGCCTTATTTTTGAAAAGAGCATATAGAAAAATATCAAGCATATCTTCAGAAAATTTTTACTCGAAAACTGTTTGCCCGATCGGTTTGGTGTCTTGGGCAATATTGCAGATAATGGATGAGATTATTTGAAAAAATATGCACTCTAAAAAAAATACACATCTTTTTTTTTAAATTTTAAATAAAATCTTAAAAACCATTTTTCTCAAAAAATTATTTTCCTATTTTTTTATATATGTTTTAGGGGACAAAAAATGCCATCTATTGCACTTTAGGTCAAGATGGAAAAATGATGGACAAAAAACTTATGATTTAAAATAAAACTCAAGTTTTTAGAAAAAAATATCAAAAACTTGGTCCAATTTTTAGAAAAAAATATCAAAAACTTGGTCCAACTTTTTTTACTTTTTATAATGCAAGAACACCAAATTTATCCTTTAAATATGTCGAACCTCTTAACGGAATCCCTTTATGAAGAGCTTTGAGTTCGGTCATATCTCAAGCTTACTCGTCTTTGTATGGAGGAAAATTATTTTATTTTCAGAGGAAATTTTTATAAACAAACTAAAGGCAATCCGCTTTCTCCATTTTATGTGAATTGTTCATGGCTAACCTAGAAAATACTCTGGAGGATAGGAATTTGTTGCCCAAATGTTGGTATAGGTACGTGGATGACATCTTTAGCATTGTCAAAAGGGAAGATTAAATCTAATTTTATCAAAAACTTTGGAGGCCATAAGCAACGTTCACAAGGGCATCAAATTTACTCACGAAGAAGAGAGAGACGGCAAACTCCCCTTCTTAGATCTTCTCATCATCAGGGAAACGTCTTCGTTCAATTTCGAAATCTATAGGAAACTAACAAACACAAAGAGAGTAATACTGTTGGTAATACCAAGCACTTCAAACCATTCCCACCAACACAAAATGACCGCTTTTCACCACATGGTTCACAGGTTGCAAACTCTTCCTCTTAGCGATACAGGCAAATCAAAGGAAATAGCTCACATTTTTGAAATCGCTAGACTTAATGGGTATCAAGAAAAAACAATTCAAGCAGTAATCGATAAAAGAACAAGGGATCATTTTAGGCGTATTTCTACAACTCTTACACCAGTAACTGAGGGTTTAAAATGGGTAGCGGTGAATTTCGACAAAAATATTACCAAACCATTGATTTCAAAGTTTAGAAGTTTTGGCCTAGATTTAGTATTCAGCAGCAGGACAAATCAGCTGAAGTCGCTGTTAGGATTAACAAAAGATTCAATAAATGTCTTAGGGAAAGCCGGAGTCTACAAAATCTCTTGTCCAGATTGCAATAAAATCTACATTGGTCAGACGAAAAGGACTTTGGAAACCAGGTTTACGGAACACATCGCAGAGGTAAACAAGGCTAACAAAGAGATGGATAAAGGACTTCATTATGAATTTAAATCCAAGGTTGCAGAATATATCGTTACAAAGGGGCACAATTTAACAAAGGATAACATTGATATCCTGCGGACCGCCTTGGAAACTAGACGTAGCTGAAAGTTTAGAAATATTTAAACATAATCCATCAACATTGCTTAATATAATTCAAGGAAACGGATACTCGAGACTCTTTAGCATACTACCTAAAACAACACATCGTAGAATGCATCTACCTGTCGGAGACTGAATTTAGGTAGCTGTTTAGGTAAATTTTGACTTGGCAGTGGATACCTGTTGATTTTTAGTACCTATTGATTAGTATATAACTCGTAGATAAAAGATGGATTCTTCAGTGGTGTTGAGTACTTGGCACTGATGAAGTCTGCTAGTAGTAGTATACTCCACTATTACTTCGAGGTTGATTGAGTGATGATACGAA